CATTGAGGATGGCGTGAGGGCTGGACGAGTGGCTGAGGTCAACAAGGGCTTCAACAAACGGGTAAAGCCAGAGAGGTTGTACGACCAGCTGGTGAAGGGTGATGTCGCTTGCGAGAAGCACCGCTTCCCGCAGCTGGACTTTGCAAGTGCCGTGATTCCGAAGGGAGTTGAGTCCAAGTCCTCGAGAGGACTTTTCGTGATTCCCCCGAAGCAAACACCGAAAGAATTCCGCAAAGTCGTGAGCACGAAGACGTCTGCTGACTATCACTCGCCTGCGCCGCTGCGGGGCACACAGTCTTTGGAGGATCTCGAGCTGACGAAATGGTGCATGCAACAGAAGCAGCTTCACTTGGCGCCTGCTTGTTTTCTCTCCATCCTCGTTGCGCCCTACAAGATCATCATGCGAAACAAGGCTTTCCACCGCGGTGCCTGGTTCTTAGCGCTGAAGCAGTTCACAGCCATGTCTGTCTTGGCAATTCCGCTGGACGAATGTGTTCACGAAGGCAAAAAGTACTTCCTGCTACAGAAGATCCGGAGGCCTTATTGGCTGCCAATCGTGGAAGCGACGGCATGGAGTTGCTGCACCTTTGTATTCAGAAGTCCGCTTGGCTTGAAGGTGACGACTGGCAAGTGGCATCAGGCGCCTGCTTGTGTGCTGCAGGCGACATGTGAGCCAACTCAGCTTCTGAAGGTGTCAGCCCGAAATGCGTTTTGGACGATTTCAAAAACAGCGCTGGTGATGGTGGCAAGACATGTTGGCATCGACGTGAACAGCGCCGGCGCCCTTCCGCAGATCGTCTTGGACATGGCCGAGAAAATCCTCGGCAAACTCACGGATGCAGAGAAGCTGGAAATCTTGCGGAAACGCATGCCCAAGGTAGACGACATCCAGGAGTTGCTCATGGACCTGGAGAACTTGGACGAGCTCTTGGATGCCCACGACCGCAAGGACATGGAAAAGGACATGGAAGCCCAACAAGCTTGTTCGCGAGAGTTTTCAAGCTCTGTGAAGGAGTATGCCAAGAAGGTCAGAGATGCTCAGCCGAAATCTTCTTCAGGTAGACGTTCTCAGAGCTCTGCGCCGCAGCCTCCAGCTAAGAAGCAGCGCAGGCACAATGGCAAAATCCCTGAAATCGTCGAGAACATGGACTTGGAGGAGATGAACGCGCTGCTGCCGTCAACTTGCAAGTTCAGCATAGACAAGACCGACCACTACTGGCGAATGAACGCATTCGGTACACGGTATGGTAGGTCATGGAACCTGCATGGAGTGCACAATGCAGCTGAACAGCTTTTGCGTTTGGCTTGGAGAAGAGCCATCGACGAAGGGTACGAGAGAGAGTGCCCGTTTGCTGAGTTGAACATCCGAGCACCAGCGTGAGTTTACAATCGGAGCATCTTGTGCTTCACGCGTGTCGACAGTTGCGTAGTAAGGCTGTGCACTGTTTCAAGCTTTGTCTGTTGTTTTAGCATGCTGCTTCGCCGTCTGCAGCAAAGATCGCAATGAACTCAGCTGGTGTTTGGCTAACAACCTTTTGCAGCGCTTTTCATGATTTCTCAAGCGCTGCCGCTTGCTGCAGAACGCTGTGCCTCTCACTGCAACAGGGGTCAGTGATCGTCAGCGGTTGTGGCGAGCTCAGTCTGTAGCGAACCATCTCGAGAGGGGCCGTTCGTGCCCGTAGTGCCGTATAGAGGACGTCAGGATTCCATACTAGAGTTACTGATGTGTTCGCGCCTGTGTTCGTCAGTTCTAGCATTGTTTTGGGAAGCCTAAACAGTTGTGGTGATGTGAGAATGTGCTCTCGCACACTCCTCGTTCGCCCAAGTTGCCCAAACCACATGCGGTTCCTTAACCCCAAGGCCCTTATGAGATCTCCACAAACAGCCCCTTGTTTCAACAAAGCTTCCTAGACCTGCCTTGGGCGTTGGCCTCTCCAAGCAGCTGATGCCGAGGGGAGCTGATGACATCAGCACTGCTTTCCAGATGACATTCTGCACGAACGCAGGGGCTTCTTCAACCATGTAGACTAAATTAGCATACTTGGACAGCCGGGGGAGCCGTGTAGTTGGTGTCATTTTCGTGCAGGAAGTCTCCATGTGCAGTGCCCTTTCAACTTTACTTGCATCCTTGCAGCGCCGGTAGCGTGTAGACAATGCGGCATCTGATAGGCTTTAGTTATATATAGTGAGTGTTCTTTTGAAGGTAGCCGCCTCGAGGGTTTAGCGAGGCTTCTTATATGTAGTGTGCGTTCTCAATATGCGTAGCGAGAAGACCTGTTAACTGCCGCATGACGGGTTGTGTAGCAATTCACGACTCCATACTGCGACAGACGCTCTCTTAACGATGATGTGGCCGAAGAAATCATCGGAAAATTTATGCCACATAGACTCTCGCGAAGCTCTGCATTCCAGAACATCCCAACTTGGAGGGGTCGAGGCAGGCGGCTGAGTCAACCGAGCAGCGTACTAGGAAACTGATTTAGCGTTTATGCTGTTAGGAAACCTAGCCTTTTCTTGGTTCTGCCATGAACGTACTCCTTTTCGACGATGCTTTAAGTGGTGCAAAACACTGGCCTGTAGGTGCAAGCAAATCACATCACCCCTCAGTTACACGAAGAACATAAGAGCAGATTCGTATTTGGAGCTGATTCCTGACGAGCAACATACCTAATATAGGGTTTCTTTATCCTGACAGAACGTTCGGAAAACTCCACAACAGTTGCGGCAGCACAGCCGCTGGTCAACCTTGAAGGGGATATTGTACGATACGGCATGCGTAGTGTGAACCAGCCTGAAAAGACGTGCGAACCCCAATAACATGCAGTCTCTGCACCCCCAGTCCGTAAACCGAACAGGTGTAGGCCGCAAGCCCTTGTCTCGTTCCAGTGGTGGCACTTGGGGGGAGCGGAAATCAGTGTGCAAATTTGCTTATGTGCCTTTTTGGGCCCCTACCAAAGGGAACTCCCGAGGCGAAGTCATCCACGGCCCTCTATCGAGGCTACACTCAGGGTCAGTGGGATGAGTGGAACAACCGCTCGCGCAGCTGGTGCTCGCAAGCCCGCCCCACTGCATTTTGGTTCCGGTCGCATTTGCTTTAGACCCGCAGGGCTTCCTTCCCGTGCTTTCTAGAAGCTCGCTTTGGCCATCAATCTCTACCTTAGAGCCCGGGCAACCTGTATGGTAACAACATCCGCCTTAGCTTGAGCTGCACGGCGAGGGGGGTGTAGATTTTACCCTGCCTCCAATATTACTTTTGCTGTCCTTGGCAGTTCTCTTACGCGGCCTTATCTGGGCTCAAGTCCCCACGGTAAAAAGGACCGACAGGGTTGACTTAGCGGTAGCACCAATGTAGTTGGCTCTACACCCTGAAACTTCATTGGTTTCTACTTCCCGGCCTTTGGCTTTCAGCTTCTGTTTTTTTTTTTTGGTTTCTTGGTTTTTGACTTACTGGCTTTCTGGCTCTACACTTTTCGCGTTTATGCAATAGTCGGCAGAAATTGCCGCATCGCAAGGTTCACCTGCGGTGGACTTCCATGGGGGGCAACCAATCAGAACATCTCTTAGATATTCGTCATACTGTCACCTTTACGACTTGGTCTATCACGAGTACTGTTACTAACGTTGTATTTATCTTGCGTTTTCGGCTGCTGTATAGTAATTACGACTATTTGTGCTACTACAGCATTTCCAAAACAATTGTTATTGAAGTTTTTTGTACTGTTGCTGCACTACTTTTTGGCTTGATTATCACCATTACTATTGCTACTAGGATAATGCATAGTGAGTGCGTGAATGCGTAAGGGCGGGAGTGTGTCAGGGAGGGAAGAGGGAGGAGGGAGTCAGTGATGTGGTGGCATGCCCCGCAGCTTCCCTGCACGACTTGGGGCGAGGAGAGGATGGTCATCCAAGAGTTCTTCTTTTCGAGACGTGTTGATCTTCAACACGACAATGATCAAGAAGGCAAGTGACTCCGAGTATAATCCTGGCGCATCTGGATTTCCTTGCGATCATAGCTCTCCCAACTAGAAATGGACATGTATCGTTACAAAAACTGAAAGCGGCTACCTTGAATAAGCTCCTCAACACGTCCGTGATCGCGGTCGACCTGGGATTGTTGTTGTGGATGGCACCAAGTTAAAGGAGTCCGACCATGACGAAGAACGCCACCTTCCCCAAGCAGGCTCCATCGCCGCTGGGCAGGATGGAAGGAATTTGCCGATAGGCTCGTCGCTCATCCCAGACCCACACGGTCAACTCCTGATCGGGGCACCGGGTCATCAACCACTTAATGGCAGCCACGTTCACGTCCGTCGAAGGCAACTCGAGCTTGTGTGTGTGTGTGACAATCGGCGGCATGCTGACTCCATTGGAGGTAGCGCTGTCGACCCCTGGCACGGTGTTTTTTGTTGCGCAACTTCGAACCTGTGCGTGGGCATCCACCGGTCGGTGTATATCGGTGTCCACATCCTCGAGCGAGGATTCCCACACTGTTGGGGAATGTTCAGGGGGAGGCGCGGCACGGATCGCACGCAACACTTTGTCGCGCTCGCGCTGTTCCTGCGACTCCAGCCACCCTCCCCCGGGCGCCATGTTTTTTCCCCCCGAACACCCCTACCCGCAAATGCCGGGCCTGGCAGTTGATCGGGCTGAGGGATTACACGGGCGGGTGTGGACTCCGAGGGCGGTACTAAGGGATTTCATCCCGACGAGCACCCGCCCCCCACCTTCCCCAGTCCCCTGCTAAGGCAACCGTAGATGCTTCGCTTCGAGCTGAAACGCACATTATCAAGTTGCACACGCGAGACTGCCCCTACGTGACAAATCCAATTCCTTGTTACGGCGGGGACTGCCTTGTCCATGACACACGTGGCGCACAACTCTTGCAAGGGCCTGCTCCACTTCTTTCGACTAGCATACTTATTACACAGGCCGCAGACCTTGACTTCTTAGCCCCAAACACATACGGACCTCTGCTTAAAACCCCCAACCCCGGACGTCAGGTCTGAGTTCAGTGATGCTTACGCTGCTGCCAGCCGCTTACAACGTGGCTGGCTGCCAGGCTTAATTAACCTGCAGAAGGAATTAGGGTAGCAGGTTTGCGGTTTTGCATGTCACGTGCTGGTCACATGATTTTTCAACTATGGCTCTTCGGAGGGGTAGGATTTCGGAATACGATGTAAGTATGATGCGAACATGATTTGAACATGATCTGATCGAACTTCGTAGAGGCCAGGACGTCTGCGGTGGCGGGCAAAACTTGGACAGGCTGTTTCAGGAAGCAGACGTGCTTTACCCGCCCGCTCGCCCGAGCCCCGAGAAGCAGGGCAGGGTGGAGGTGGGACAAGAAGGGGGGTGGATTGGCAAGGGACAAAAACCCTTGCCTGCCCCTGGCCTAGACGGCCGCCGCAAGAGACTGAAGCAATCCGAATAGCCAATTGATTGGCGAGTTATCGCACTATTGTTGTTGTTGTGATTGCTGCATGGATTTTGCTGCTCATGCCTCTTTGTCATATGTTTTTGTTTTTCAGTTGTTTGGGTAATGTGGTTCTTCGTTCCCATGTAATGTGTTTTTGGTATTGGGGTTTCCTGTCTTTGGTAATTGAACTGTTTCCTGCGTTTCTGCAGCCTGACCGACAAAAATACTAAGGTAAAGGCTTAGGTTCCAGTGCAGGCGCCACCACCACAACCAAATACGGCGAATTAGTAACCAGTCGATCTACCATGTAGCACTCTCGCCATACGACACATGCTCAAATAAAGGAGCATGCCTTCGAATCTGAGTACGCAGTATGCAATTGAAAGAGCAGAGCAGGTTCACCGACGACAGGGGCCTCAGGGAATAAGATCATCAGAGAGTTGGGGTTCGAATTGTAGAAAGCCCTACAAAATCGACAAGCTGACCTTCTGGTTACAAAGATCTCAGCAGCTAAGCTAGGTTTCTTCTGGTGAGTTCGAGAAATACCAACAGTTCTTGTCTGGAAACTCGTCCTTCACCTAGATATGCAGCCCCGAATGTGTTCCTGTAATGTTTGAGGAGCAGGCCCAGGCTGCTTCGTGTTTAGATTGGTCACCCTTGTAAGGGCTTAACATTCTAACACGTTGGGGCGACGTCAAAGGAGGGTGCGACAGTTTCATCGCCCAGAATCGCGCGCCTGAAGACCAGAGAGCCCTTCACACTATGCAGCTGAAACTGTAGGTCTGGATTGGGGACTGGAGCTTTTCTATACCCTCTGCAATCCCTCTGCTGTTTCGCTGTATGGAGTAACGAGATTGAGGAGGCCTATGGCAGAACGGTTTAGCCAGAAGAAGAGCTGCATTGGAGATTGTTTTCGTAGTTTAGGTTCACACGGGTTGAAGGTTCATTCTATTCAGGTCGTGGGCATTGACGTCTCCGCGTGTGCGCATGGCTGCACAAGTCTGGGGCAGGGGAAGTACGAGCAGATTGTAGCCGGCGGTGGTTCGGATTCGGCATTGGACGGTGTTTTGGGGTTTGGCTTTTGTTGCTCCAGGCTCCTTGTTTCCAAACCTAGACCTGGACCCCTTGATCGAGTTGTACAGTGCTAAAAAGACTTTAGTTGAAGTCTAAGAAGCCCTGAACACCCGAAGGGTTCAAAGTTTAGCTAAACCAGTCTAAGATCGAGTTGCCGAGCTGGGAACAAGTTTCTTGATCTGGATTTTAAGTTTCGGCGGTTGTTTATTCTTGAGCACCGATCTCTCACAACGATTCGGCTTAGGGTTGAGGTACAGGCCATCTTGCTAAGCTGCCGAAGCTTTCGGGCCCTTACCATTACCGAAACATGTTCAAGCCAGAGCTCCAATCAACCCTATCTGCATAGTTGGGCAGATATCCTGTAACACTGTAACCTGTCTGGGTTGTTGTGTTATTCTGGGTTTACAACGGCTTAGTCCTGCTACCAAACATCCAGAGGTTAAACATTGAACATAGCACATAGGTGTGGTGCAGAGCAGCCATGCTTATGTGGTAAGCCACACTGGGGTCTGGTCCATGGGCTTCGGGTTTGCCCTCTCTTTGGTGAGCAACATCAGAACTGGATGCTTCACATGCAACGCTGTCGAGTTGATGTGGCGCAACTCTGCAATGATGATTTCCTGCGCCTGGTATTTCTGCCACAACATCCGCTCATTTCCCCCTCACTGGTATTAGCTTATGTGCGCTTTGTAGCTTCTTTCTGCACCATGCAGCGATGGCTTATAAGTTGTGCGCTTTCGCAATACGTGCGATGCGCTTTCTTTTCACTGCTGACCGCGTGGACGGTTGTTTTAGGTCCGAGTCTCTCTCTCGACATTAGTTTAATTAGTTTCGACGTGCCTTCACAAAGGTTTAGAAGGCCCCGATAATCCTGGCTTTCACTCCGAAAGCCCGAGTCATACACCCAAGGGATAAATCCCATACATACGATCCAACATATACCCTGTAAGCCCTATCCTAACACCCTAGACACGAATATGCTGCACCGTCAACTCTGTGAGTCCCTCAACCCAGACCTCAAATTAGGGCATACTGAAGCCATAAGTTGTGGTCGTTGTGCTTGTTTGCAGGCGTTTGTTGGACTATTGGACTACTTTCAAACCGCTCAAAATCCATCCCAAGGTCAACCTTTTAATAAAGCATGAAAGGCGTTTACCTCCGCGGCGAGCAATTCCCATACTTCTAACGCGTCTGGTACTGGTATCATGCCGTTCTGTTGTTCTTGTATTCAGAACCTTGTAACGGGTCTGGGAATTTTGTTGAAGGTCAGCCCGGCACTTTGTGGAAGGAGCCGCTGTTGCACAGAGCGAGCCGGGCTCGGCTCACCAGATTGCAATTTGACAAAACCTTAGAACTTCAAAGGGGCCAGTGTCGGCAGTGTTTTCTTTTTGTGAGGGTTTGCTGGGTTTTGACAGGGGTGGAACGTGCATGGTAACGATTATGTGGACTTTAATGCCTATAGGAATTGTGTTTGCCTTATTTACGTGGCAGATCTAGTCAACTATAGTACATCCCTGCAATGGTTTCCTTGTGTTGAAGAACCTTTTCGTATCATGGGGCACAGTGTATCGAATTGGCGAGTCGGGGTTTTGGACTGTGCACCAAGCAGCCTTTGGTCTGAAGTTAGGCGTTCACGGGTTGCGTGATCCCTGTGTGCGGTGCTTGGTTCTAAATTGCCGGAAATTCCTCTAATTGATGCCTTGACTGCGGGACACATCCTCAACACGTTCCACGAGGATCTGTGGCGTAGCAGGGGTTTAGTGTTTCAGCTACCTAACCTACGGTCTCCTACACAATCATGTATCTATGAAGCACCACAGGCCCTGTTCTTTGCACGTTCCGAAACAACACATAAATATGTATGACGAATCAAAAAGTCACGCATGTTCGTAAATCAAAGGGGCAGTAGGAATGCAATGCTGCAAGCTCTTGCACGGAATTAACATACCGTACATACCTCTCTCTGGCATACTCCGCGAACCAACTTTGATTGCTACCCGGTGTCAGGTTGGTAGAAAAAACGCATTTGCCGCAACTGCCCAGGTTAGGCCAAGCTGAGCAAACGACCTTGTCGAATCGGCAGGGACCTGCATAGTGAAGCCATGTTCACGGTCGTCACGGCCTTGGGCGCAGTTGGGTAACAGCGGTGCTGCTCTTACGGGTGTGTTTCTAAGAAGCATGTATGTGCAGCATTATGCTGTAAACATGCCTTACACATGCAAGCGTAGTTCACAGGCGAAGGGTTAAACCTCAAACCCAAAACTTCCCGAGACCCAAAATCCTTAAGCCCTGAGCCGCAGCCAGGGGCAAAATCCTATGCCCGAGCCGCAACAGCCAAGGCGGCAGCAGTGTTTGGAGCTATTCTCATTGCTGCCATCAAAACTTGATGCTGTCCATTCGGGATACCAGCGACATCCGAGAACTTCCCGACTGCTGGCCACTTTAGCTGCCTGAGGTTTTAGATGTTCATGCTTTTATAGTCGAGACTTTTCATCTTTGAAAATATCCTAAACCCAGACCCTACTAGTCACAAACTGTGGTTGAGGGGAGCATTTCAGTGTGCCGTTTAAGGTCCTACTAACTAGCTGATGAGGAATGCAGATAGTCTGCAGAAGTGATGTCGGACCTTAAGCCCTGAAACTCAGACCCCCAGAGTACCATTTGGTGTTGAGCGTTTAAAGCTTTCTGCCGGGATCCGGCAGGACGCGTAGGAAACGGCGGCGTAGGAAAGGGCTTGCAGGCATTCGGGGCTGCGTGTGGCTACTGTATGAGCTCCCCGAATGGTTTTGGAGTTCAGCGGGTCGGCTGGTCGTTTTTTTAAACTGATTAGGCGCAAACACAAGGGATATCTGTATACACATATGCATGAACATCTTCGTGTTGCTTTGTTTGGTTATTCGTTGTTTAACGTATTGGATTGTTTATTAACATGTTCGCTTATGTACTGTGTTGTCAAATTCACTTCTTTGTTCATGCCCGTGCATACATTGACACAATACATACATGTGTATGTGTATGAGGGTTGTTGAAAGTGGAAGGGTTTAAAGGGTCCGCGAAAGATCTGATAAAGCAGGCGCGAAAGGAAAACACTTTTGCGCAAAAGATGTGTCAACACGTGTCATACCATACTGCAGGATTCAATTATGTCCTGC